TAGCTTATGATATTTTGTAGATTGCATTGTCTTCTTCATGTATGCTAAATCTGAGCTATATATAATTATTACTTTCGGCACTACAGTAATGACAATTAAACCTTTTTTTTTAGTACATCTTGCATAATGCCCTGTGGCTCAGCCGTTAGAGTTATACATTATTTGAAAAAAGTTTTTTAATTTCAATAATCAAACTATAACTTTGTCATTTGAACTTTTGCTCTAAAATCGGTTTAAAAGGGTGAAATTTGTCGTTGAATATCGGGCAAAATGCGCCCGAGCGTTAAAGAAAGCGAGTGGTGGGAGATACAGATCCCGCGGAGGGGAAGTATATATAGTAATAGAAAAGCCAGGCGCTCGGCGTTTGACTTTAATATTACTTATTTTGATGTATATATAATTACGCTATTTTACTGAAATTTAATTAACAGTTTGAGTTACGTTTTAGGGACACTTGTAATGTGATTTATGCCAGATTTAGCATACATAAAGAAGACAATGCAATCTACAAAATATCATAAGCTAATTCTTTCAACATCACTATATGTGGAGATATGAATTTTTGAAATGTTACCTTTTTTGATCAATTTTGATGTTTTTCGTAATTATATTAATTATTAATTACTCGATTGAGATGAGCGATAGCTCATTTTATAAATAATTCTATTATCTATAACTTATTCCATTGAGGTACATACCTAACTTCAATAGTTTTGGTTTTATACGCGAAAAACATGTTTTTGCAAATTTCAAACGACTGTAAAAAGTTATTAAATGAAAGTTGCGAGTTGGAAACATATACGTTTTCATCTACACATAGTATTAAGCAACTTTGCATAGTCGGTTTACTGATAGTATTAATGTCACAAATTACCTCATTTTTGGCTTCATTGATTGGCCTAAGTGCCTTTTATATAAATACCAGTACTAAAAGCTTCATGCCTTTAAAAGGCTCGTCCATTTTTTACTGGTTTTAATAAGCATTCAAAATCAGCCTATATAATAAATGGTACCATTTCTTGTCGATTGTTATGTGTAAATTTAAGAATTGAATGATCAGATAGATTAACTTTATATTTATTTATATTCAAGCAGTCTACATTATGGATTTTCAGTTTTTCCTCATCGTTAAAATAGTGGAGGCAACGTTCATATAAATAAAATTTTAGTATTTTGTTAATTGACTTCAAATTAAAGCAGATAAATTTTTAATCCACACATAGTGGAATTTCAATTTAAAATCTTCATTGTCAATTGGCTTATGAGAACTTTCCACTTCATTTTCATCAATGTAATCACTTTGCAGTAAAAAAAGATTTACATGCTTGGCTTGCTTTGTCTTTGTTAGATAATAAGATGAGATTTCGAATTTTGATCTATGTTTCTTAAGTATATATAAATTTATAGAAATACAATTCAATCGTTTAAACTTAGGAATACTTTTAGTCTATACAGGAAAGCTTATGCCATAGAATTTCATTTCATCTGCATAAGATTGATAAGTGATCATTCTTTCACAATGACATTTAACTGGATAAAGACAGGCAAGTACTGACCATTTGAAACATTCATTATCAATATTCTGAACATTAACACATGCTCTTTTATCAGTTATTTATTTTGGTAATGGAATATATGAGCCAACTTTTAGAGGGTGATATTTATTTATATTCATATTAATTCTAATGATATTTTTGAATGACAAATCTAAATATCTATCTTGAAATTCTTCTATATTCTTGAGTATAACGTCTTCGTTATGGTTCGTAAACCATACTTTTAGATTAGACTTTTAAGAATGGAAACAGTTCTCTGTATTAAAATATTTGATTCGAATATCCTTTACATTGTCTTTTTTAAATAATAAAATGAGCTGACATTTCTGTATTTATCTTTAGAGCATAATGCATAGCAAGATATTTTGGTATTTGAGTTTGTAAAAGTTTATTTACTGCTTTTAAAAATGATTTTATGTTTGTATGTTCTTGATTTATGATGACTGCAGTATATGTGTTCCAAAGACAAAATTAATTTCTCGCCATACAACCCTATCTTCTTGAATTTGATTTGGACTTTTTCGTAATGTGTATTCCGCCAACTTTTATTGAATTACTCAATTTGACTTTGATAGAATTTAAATGAGAAGCGTAAGTTTGACATCTCTGTCGTATTGCTCTAGTTAAATCAAATTGTTTCATATGAATCTCTAATGAATTGATAGCAGCAATTGTTAACATTTTCAATTTAATAATTAAGTCTTCTACATTTGCATTTGGATTGTAATAAGTTTTCCAAATATTTCGCACTCATCTTCAAAGTACGAAATAGAAGTTATCTTGTTGGTAGGTTATATAGGATAACTGTGTGTTATTCAATCTAATTTTTACTTCGATATATCAAATAACTTTATGTTATTTCAATCGAATTCGATATCTATTTAGGAGTTACTACTATTACTAATACTACGTGGTTTGTATACTACTACTACGTGGGAAACCATATGGAATATTTTATCAAATTCTCACATGGAATCCCGCGTGGGAATCTACGCGGGATCCTATGCATAACTTTACGACCAGGGTTTCCTTCCAACATGATCCTGATGCTACTATAGCTTATTTAGTTCCAATATTATCCAAATTTGTAGCTTGCATATTATCAGTGTCTCTCCTGCAACTCAATATTGCAATAGAAATACTTTTCACCTTTTTGCATTGTACCTTCGCTAGTTTTATACTCAAATTAAAACTATAATTTATAATTTCACGGAATCTGGACACGGAAAGAGCCCTGCGAGTGGTGTAGGATCAGCTAAAAAGCAAGCAGATGATAAAGCCGTAATACATGGAACAGATATGCATAATCTTGAATCGTTATTAAGTGTCTTGAAATCAAGAAAAAAAAATATTCATATAGAAGTCATTAAATCTATCGATATTGAAATATTGTAAGTAGAATACCTCGCGATCACATCAAATCTTTTAAAGGTATGCTTTCAATTCATCAAACATTCCATAGGCGACCTATGGCCTATAAATAAAACAGTTAATGATTCTAAAAGAGATAAAGAAAACAAGAAAAGGAACTATGTCAAGAAAAAAAATATAGAAAAATTTTTAATTAAAAAATTATACAATTAACTTTAGTGTTTAAAAAATATATTTATTAACTTATTAACCTCAAATTTTGTTAGATATTCTTATTTGATTAGTTATATTATTATTAATGACGTTTATATATATATATATATTAAAAGAATGATAATAAATTGCTTTTCATGAAAACTCCGTATTTTTTATACAATATATAATCTCTGCTAAGGTTCCTCCTCATCCTACATAGATATACTAATCTATATCGGTCAATGAGCGCTCCTTTGTTTGAATTTTTCTCGGTATAGTAACGTAAGGATTTGCAAAAATTATCATGTACAGATTTTACGGCGCAGTTTGCGCTAAAGCAAGTTATTTATTCGCTAAAGTAATTACCAACTAATAATATAGGTCAATATTTTTAAGTTTGAATAGACATCTATTCGCCATGAAATGCGTTCGTAATTTGTTTTATTTAAATCGATGAAAGCTGGATTTAGTGTTCATTTAAAAAAAAATTTCTGAAGAAAAGGCTGCATAGAATCATCTCAATTTATATTGTCGCAAACTGCACCGTAAAATGTGTAAATGATAATTTTTGCAAGTACTTACGTTACTCTTCGGAGGAAAATTTATGGAACAAAGGAGCAGCCATTGACTGGTATAGATTTGTATATATCTATGTAGGAGCAAGGAAGTGACCTTAACTGAATATCCTAATCCTTAGGTTTTACAGATAGACTAAGCTCAATTGTCATAAAAATAATGATTTATTAATCAAAAAAGTATTTGTATCAAAAAATAATAGTAGAATTTTCATATTAGTAATACACTTTTTACCCACCGAAATTAGCCAGTTTTTTGAGAAATCACATATATTTTTTACAAGCAATTTAAATTGAGTGGCCTACATTCGGGCACTTTACAATAAATAAAAGGATTAAAAATAAAAAAAGACTTCTCCAAATATAATTATACACCACTACCTTCTTGAATTAATTTTCACAGAAAATTTTCATTTTGGGTGTAGTATTACATATCAAAAAGCATACATAGCTACTTTAACTTTGTCAAAGATTTCAGATAGACAGTATTGGTATGTGGGTCTTAAGTACTATCGAAATTCATTTATGAAAAGTTAATAATTAAATAACCTGTTGCCTTATTGTGTATGATAAAATACAATCAACTAGCATTTATTGTACAATTATATATTCTAGATTTAATTATTCTGTACAATGCATATAAAATGAGGTTGTAGGCAGGTATGCAATTTTAAGCATGTAAGCAATTTTGCCTATTCGCGCACGGAGTATCAAAAAAAATGTCTGAATACATAAATATTTATAAATTTCGTATGAGAGATAAATTTAATCTGTAAAGAAGCATAATTATCAACCCGAAAATTTACAAAAATAATCCTACTTTTATTATTGTTAATACTTCACTTGGTTCCGGAATGTTACAGCACAGTGTAATTATGGGAAAGTAAAATAAACTAAAAGTCATTATACAGTTTCCAATTAACCTTACCATCTCTAATACTTTGAAAAACTAAAACAAGTTTAAATCAATTGCTGTTATTTTGTTTGTACTATCGAGAGCTTTATACCCCTCATAGAAGTAGGTATAGTGGCATAGTTAGATAGCTAGAGATAAGCTGAGTGTGATAGCAAATGACTATGGTAATGAGGAAGAATTAGCAATGAACAGAGCTGTAGGGTTGATATGAGTAAGCATTACTGAGTTGCCTCGCAACACTGCTAGAATCTATTACAACTATAATATAATCGACCGAGGACTGCGCGCCCTGTGGTGGCTGCCCTACAACATGTAGTCTACTGCCCCGTCGCCTTCGCCACTTTAGACAAATTGCGCATGCTCCTCGGGCAGAAGGCAAAACAGGCAAGCAAATAAGAAAGCAGACAAGAAAGGAAAAACAGCATGGAGCAGACGTTGCTTACCCTCCAATGCTTTAGTTTATTAGATCAGCAGTGTACAACACCGGTGATGGTATAGCTGAGCACGTAACTGTTTTATAAAGTGAATGTGAGAGTAGTAGAGTATAATCACAATCTTAAAACGGAAAACAAAGAAGCAAGATCAAATAGGTACCACTTGAAGAAGTATCTTAATCTAGCATAGTCGATTGGTGTCCCAATTTTTTAATAGGTACAGCACAGAGGAGCATTCGTGTAGCTCCCATCGATTGGGTTTTCTCTCTGTGTCTCTCTCTGTCTTTCTCTCTCTCTCTCTCTCACATACAGCATCCCTCACTCATTATCTACACTTAGCTCGTGTACATGCTACACGCGGCAACTTGCCTACTCGACAGGCTCGCTAATTGTGCGCCAAAGGACTTGTTCAGCGAAGAATGGTGGTCGAATCGAATCAGGCCAAGGAGATAGTCTCAGCTACATTGAGACTTGGACATGACCTCGCACCATTAAACGAAGAACAGAGGCCTGAACTTGGAATTCACACCATTCCAACTCTGGTTAGTGAGAATAACAGCTGTAATGAACCTAATCATGCTGATCTACGATTGGTCAAACAACAAGATCGCGCTAAGTGGAGCGGTAAAATGCAATTTTTCCTTAGTATCATTGGTTATAGCGTGGGTCTTGGTAACATTTGGAGGTTTCCTTACCTCTGCCAACAAAACGGTGGTGGTAAGTCAGTCACAACTTTCAACTTTATCAGTTGCAAGTTTTCTCTTTCTCCGTATATTAATTTTTTTCTCATTCACTTTCCCTACTTCTATCTCTCTCTCTCTCTCTTTCTCTATCACAACCTACCTTCCTCTCTTTTTCTTTCCTTACACACATACTTGCAATTATATATATATGTGTAAGTATAAGAGTTGATAGGTCAAAACACCTTCCCTATATCTTCAAATATGGTAGATTCAATAAAGCAGTATATATATATATATATATATATATATATATATGTACATATATATATATATTTCTAAGCAGTGTTCTTGAATATAATATTGCTACACATATTTATAGTCAATGATAGAACGTAGTAAACTAACACAAATACTTCTAGACATATAAATTATTAAAAGTGCACACACACACACACACACACACACACACACACACACACACACACATACACACACACACACACACACGTATATATATATCTGACGAAAATCGAATGCATTTTTTTTATTTAAAAATATCAAATGTAATATATCTTTGCCTCGTTATTTTATTTAGAATTTTTATTTCGCAACACACGTGCAGCTTTGAATGTGATATATACTTTAGTTAATTTTTGTAGTAAATTATTTTGGAACGAAAGTACCTTAATTTCATACTTTTTATTGAAAAATGTTTTTATGAGACAACAAAAACTACTTTTTAAATATTTAGGTAGAAAGATAATTTTTAATATTTTAGGAAACTATATCGTTAACACACTAATCAAAATAATGAATTGATTTTTTATCTCTTTTGCGGTCATGGGTTTTATGTACCTGTCTGTCGGATGATTTTCTTTATTAATATTCAAATACTTAAAAAGTAAGGGAACGTGATTTAATGCTTTACAGAGTTCTTTCATAAACGTTTTTCTATTGATTCTCAAAAAAAACTATAATAAGTGTAAGAAAATATGATCCATTTTTTCGAGGCTATCTCATAAACGCCAATGTTAAACTTAATATTTTTATCGCTTTATTTTTCGGTTGTTTGTAACATAAGTTCAATAGATAAATTATAAATTATTTATTATTATTATATTTTAGACAATCAAGTTTTAGTACCCGCTTATTAAAACTTTTTCTTCCTAAGCAGTGTTCTTGAATGTAATATTGCTACACATATTTATAGCCAATGATAGAACATTGTAAACTGATACAAATACTTCTAGACATATAAATTACTAAAAGTGTATAGACATCGACTAGAAGTAAATTATTTAAATAAAATTAAAAAGTATAATTAAATAGTATTAATAACTTTTTCAATAATTAATTTAACTAAACTGATACATGTCTTTTGTTTTCAAATTAAAACGTAGATATAAAACAATATTCCGTTTCGATAAAGTTTTTATTATTACTTCGAAACTCGTAGGTTCAAATTATTCTACTTTATTAAATTTTTTTATGAACAATGAAAGTTGTTCATAATTAGTAATCAAAATTTTCAGGTGCCTTCCTTATTCCTTTTTTTGTGATGCTTATTCTCGAAGGAGTACCACTTTTCTTGATAGAACTGGGTCTTGGACAACGAATGCGCCAGGGTGCTATTGGAGTTTGGAACACTGTCCACCCTTGGCTTGGGGGCATTGGAATTGCCTCTTGCATAGTCACTTTCTTTGTTTCATTGTACTATAACGTCATCATCACATGGTGTTTCTATTATCTCTTCAATTCTTTCCGAGTAAGTGTAAATGTTTGTTATGTTATATAATTTTACTTTAGTAGATCGCTGCAATTATCATTTCAACTTAATTTTGCTTGATTAAATTTTCACATATTGCTAGTTAGTCTACGCAATAAAGACTAACAAGGAACGTCCCTCTCTCCCCAAACCCAACCTACCCGATTTCAATAATCTTTTGATATATTACAGTTCATGAAAAAATAAGATAAGGATTTTTTTATTGGGATGATAACCACCTCAAAAAGGTAGAATTGTAAATAAAAAAAAAAAGGGTTGCACCCCTTATCGTCGTAATAATTGTATGCATTAGTTTCGTATTATATATACGATATATTAGGTATAAAATTGTTTCATCGTAAAAATATCAGTAGCTGAAATGCATTGGAAAATCCATTTTTTGGTGTAAACTTTGAGGGCGGTTTTCACCCCCTCGAAGGGTTTTTCCGTCGATTACAGAAAAAACACGCATGTCTTATTTTTTTTTATGAACTATAACATATCAAAAGATTATTGAAATCGATGAAGTCGGCTTGGGGTCTTCCTTTTAAGGCAAATTATTTCAAATTTTTGTTTTCTGCAATTTTTATACAGATGAAACTCGCAATGCCTATTAATGCATATACAACATATTATTACTCACTAGTACTATCATTTCATTGAAGTGTAAGATCCATTGTTTCAATAATTTAATCTACATTACTGTAAAAATTGATCTCGCAATAAATAAAATTAATTAAATGAAAATATTGGCTTTTTTAAAGAAATGGGAAATATATTTATTAATAAAAGTAAAGCTTTTATGATGAAATATTCAGATATTTTCAAATTAAAAATGATTGTCATCTGACTTTCAAGGCGTATATCTTTGGGAAAAGAAATTCGCATGGGAATAGGATTTACATACGTAGCATTGAAGTTCAACAGTTAGTCAATAATTGATTCGGCAGCGGACCAACTTTTACAAAGGGGTTTTCAACGTTTACATACCCGAATGTGTAATTATTTTTTATTTAAATCTGATGGAACTAGAAAAAATTGAAAAATTCTTATACGAGGGGGGTTAAAAAGTCTATACAAAAAGAAGGAAAAAAAAGTTTTGCGTATGTAATTTTTTTCTCCTTGAAGGTCGATACATTTTATTAAACGGCCTTCCAGTTTTTTTAAGCCATCAGAAAAATATGATTTCTGAAAACCCTCAAAATAGGCATTTGTTTCGGCGATGACTTCTTCATTCGACGTGAATCGTTGTCCGGCAAGCCATTTTTTAAAGTTAGGAAATAAGAAAAAGTCACTGGGTGCCAAATCAGGCGAATATGGTGGTTGGTCAATTAATTCGAACATTAAATCGTTAATTTTTGCTATCGAAACTGCACACGTGTGAACTCGAGCATTGTCTTGAAGAAAGAGGCATTTTTTTTGTTCAAGTGAGGACGTTTTTCTCCGATTTTTTCTTTCAGCTAACCTAATAATAACGCATAATATTGTCCAGTGTCCGTCTGGCTCTTTTCGAAGTAGTCAATGTAGATGATTACATACGCGTCCCAGAAAACCGTGGCCATAATCTTGCTAGCTGACTTTACTGTCTTTGCCTTCATTGGGGCTGGTTCTCCTGCGGTATTCGATTGTTTGGACTGTTTTTTGGTTTCAGGAGTGTAGTGACCCATGTTTCGTCTACGACGTATGCGTGTCAAAAGAGCCTCAGAAGTGACCACGCAGGTTCGTTTGTTTTCAACAGTGAGCAAACGCGGCACCCATTTTGCTGATATTTTCTTCATCCCCAATTTTTCATGCAAAATTGAAATGATTGTACCCTTTGATACTCCTGTGGCCTCAACTAATTCTCGCAATTTTAATCTTCTATTACTCAACACCATATCGTGGATTTTGTTGACCATTTCGGGCGTACTCACTTTTACGGGACGTCCTGAACGAGGTTCATCTTTTGTTGTTGTACGGCCGCGTTTAAATTCATTTACCCAGTTATAAACAGTCTTAAACACAGGGGCAGACTTGTCATGAACGGCGTTCAACTCAACTGTGATTTCTTTTGGTGTAAGGCCTTTCAAATGAAAATGTTTGATGACTGCTCGAAACTCTGTTTTTTCCATTTTTCAAATAAACCAATAACTTTTTGTTCAACCAACGCTCACAAAAAAACAATTTAATGAATCGAGCTGAAACTTTGTACGATATCTAGTTAGTAGTATTGCTTGCCAAAAACATCATAATTTAAGCGTGACGAGCGCTATCTCTTGGATCTTGTGAAGACTTATTGACCTCCCTCGTAGTTTTTACGTTTTATTCAGAAATGGTTGCATTAAAAAAAATCTACTCCAGGATATAAGTAGTGTGTCAAATTTTATATCAAATATTACTATAATTTTTACGTTGTAAATAGCGTTTGTAGCAACGTATAAAATTTGGCTGGGAATTTCCAGCCTCTGTGATACTGCTACTACTACGAGCATGTCTAGTAAAATTAAAATTGAACAGGCAAGTAAGAGCAGGGAGCTATTTTATTTTTAAAATTGTTTATAAATATAGTACGATATTGGCCACCTTGATTTTTCTTGTGGATTTTGCACAATAAATGTTTCTAGTAAATAAAATAATGCAAAAATTGTTTATGCATTTCCTTATTTTACTTGTGAAATGTCACATAATCAATAAATATGCATAAAAATACAATTTGATAGCGTTTTTTGCACTAAAATTTTCTATTTTATAATATTAACGAATATTATTTATGTATTCTCTCAGTGAAAAATGCAACCTTTCAAGAATCGAACGAAAAAAAATAGATTGATATCTCTTATAGTGAACAAGTTATTTCTAATTAACTAATTAAGATGATATTACTTTTTTGCTATAACATACAGATCAGGAAAAAGCATTGAAAATTGCCGCAGCTTTTTTACATATGTATGCTGTGAGGTTTCAACTATCATATGTTGTCATTTAATCGATAATTTTTTAATATTAATTAATTTAAATATTTTCTTTTTAATTTTTCGATATTGATTTAAATAACAAATGTAATATTACTGCGAGATTCGTTCTAATTAGTATTTGAAAAAACTCATGGATGGTACTGGAAAAAAAGAATCTTTTTATGACTCAAACTTTACATTTTAATAATTTGATTCAGAGTTATTGAATCCAAATTTAGCGACATGTACAAAACAATCAAGCTTTAGCAAAAGAAGCACTGTTCCATAACGTAATGTCTCAACTACGTAATCGCAGCATATAATTATTTTATTTATTAATTTCGTATTGCTGCTTGCTTTGCTCTCCGTTTTTCTTTTTCTTTTTTATGGTTTGTTGCTTCTTGCGGATTTGCTAAGGTTAATAAATAAATTTATTAACACTTGGTATTTGGTAAATTAAATAAGTTATTTATTGGGTCTAATTGAATAACTTGAAATAACAGTAGTAAAATAACATTCAGAATAATCTCAGCTGTTTGGCTGTTGCGTCTTACGAATCAACTGTCGATGTCGAATCTTTGTTGAGCTCCTCAATTTTCTCCTCAAATACTATTGTTAAAATAAAATTTACCTTTATATTACAATTGTGCAATACCGGAGGCTATAGCGTAATAAGTATGTTGAAATTGTTTTGACCTGGAGATATATTTGAAAATGGCTATTCGAAAGGAGATATTTAAAGACCTGTTGAGCCAAATTTTCAAATCTAAACTTGATTCTAGGGCCCCTAGGCTGAAAAACATGTTTCACATTGAAAAAAAAATTTTTCTGCTTCATATTTTGCTCCAAAAAATTTAAAAAAATTTATGAGGGTGCGTTTTTCATTGAGAAAACATCCCGGTTCGTTTTCAGATTTAAAAAAATCAAAATTAGGCCTAGAAATTTTTTTTTATTTTTCATTTATTTTTTAGTATATTAAGGTCATAATTGGTTAACTTCAAATAACCATCTTTGGTATATCTGTTGTTCTTCTTTCGAATATCTGTTAAAATTATCATTTTCAGACCGGAACATGCTCAAAAATTGAATAAACCATTTTTTTTATTTTGCCTATGTTTTTGATATATTATCTAGAAATAAGATAGTTCAAAAGGTACATCCAAAAATACTCTAGGACTCTATTTTATGCATAGAAAGCTTTTAAAAATAAAGATTATTTCGTTGCAGTAGCAATAAAGGATCTGATTCAATAAACTTCATCTACAGGAAAACTATGTATTATTGGAAAGTTATTTATCATTATAAATAATCTCAAAACAAATTATTTCGAATAGAATATTTTATCATAGAATAGATGTAAAAATTATTTTCAATATAATATTTCAAATAGAGATTGAGATGATGTTTATAACAAAATAATTGTATTTGATTTTTTTGCCTTTTCGGGCTGCTCCTATGATTGATCAGAATACATGAACAAAATTAAAAGAGGCTCAAGATGAAGCACAAAACACTTTAACCGAGAAATCAGTTACATTTATGAAATTAAGTGGCTTCGAACATCAAAGTAGAAAGTAAAACTTTTTGTGCTCTATCTTGAACCCTGAGTCTTCCATGCTCAATCTTGTTAACGGATTCTGACAAAATAAATGTGGATGAAACTAATGTAATAATTATTTATTACTAATGATAAATCATAAACTTACATTAGTTAAAGTTCAAATTTTGCCGCTGTCTTCGTCTATAACTAAATCAATATTTATATTAAAAAATAATTATCACAGAATAATCAACAATATTATTATTTTTAATTTTGCGAAATTATAAAGCAAAGAAATACGAGAGTTACATCTAATACTATATAAAAAACTATCTCAACTTAATTTATTTTCGACAACATTTTGCTGGTTTGTATTTCAGCTTCATCAGGTCCTTTATTCAAAAAATAAATCAATCAAACTCTATTACCCGGTGGAATAAAAATTTTCAACTCATTGAAATATTTCCGTCTTGCATTCAAAGTCACTAGAGTTAAGTTAATTTTTCTTCTATAGAGACGACACAAAC